AGCAGAGGAAATAAGAGAGCTCTTTTAAGGCAGTCATCAGGATTCATCTCAATATTCTTTGCTCTAAGCGCAATTTGAATCTCTGGATCAGACTTCAGCTTTTCCAGATAAGCATCTGCGATGACAGTACGAGGATTGACAGGTAAGCTAGGTATTGGCGGCATATCCACAGATTTCTTTGATTCCAAGGAAGGTGAAAAAATATTATCGGCATACACGTTACTGTATAAGTGCTCTTGGGGTAAACTAGAAGTATCATTGTGTTCTTTGGGGCTGGTGAGAGATTTTCCGGGTTCTTCTAACTTTGCCGCTTCCTGGGCAAGTCTTCTGCGCATACTCCGTTCTTTATGGCTCTCGGTGGAATGATTCAGAATCTGGGTGACTAGTGACCGGACAAACTCGCTCAGTGATAGGCTTTTCTCATTGTGACCTTGAAGAAAATGGTAGCAGAGTAGTCGCCTGTTTAGAGCTCGCTGTTGTCTGCTTGCAGGACCCTGTGAAGGCCAACATAGCTCTGAGCAAAATGTGGTTTTGCCACACCCTGGACCTCCTAGCAATAAAGCTCCACATGTTTTTGAGACAGGTCGTTGATCCAGGCAATGGGCTAGTTTTTGAAAAGCCCATTCTCTGCAATAGAACTTCTTTTTGTCCTCCTGCATCGCCATGTTTTTACAAAAAAATATAGGACTAATCTTTTTATTTGTCTTTTGTCAGGACGTCAGAATCTATAGCTTTATGTTCACCCCTTAAGTGCAGTCTTACTGTTTCTCTTTACGTATTGGGCTGCCTTCTTGGCATACAAACTACATTTTTAAACCTTCGTTTCACCTGCTGGCGCATATTTTGTAGTATTTTGTAATGCACATTATTTCTTTTTGGAGTTTTGCCATGGTATGAGTTGACAAGGTTGCAACAATAATCTGGAAATAAATAATAATACATAGTGATTTCTTTAGAAAATATTTATGTTATTGTATTACATACAAAACATTATATGAAATAAATCCACTGGAACACCTTTTGCAACGTAACGTAATGGAACCAACAAGTTTTTAAGGTAGCAGTTACACATTATATTATATGTTCTTCACAGGTATTCATTATAGTCTGTCAGAGTGGTCTGGTTGCCCAGATATTAGACAAAGTCAGGGAGAAAGAAGGGAGATCAAAGAGAAGTGCGTCAGTTTGAGGGGTGCCTTGGCAGTAATGACTAGTATTCGGGAATTTTGGATTGATATTAACATTAATTTGGAGATTTTTTGTTGTGAAAAAATTGTAACTTTGGTTGGAACTAAAGTTGCACGATTTAATTTTATTCACGGTGCGAGCCAATCTTAATTTAGAGGTTCTACACAGCATAAGGTAGTGTACTAATGTAATTTGGTTTTTAACGCTTCAGTGTGCTCCTGCCTCGTCATCCAAATGCCAAGATAGTTGGCAGAATTTTCCCATGGTACGCGAACTCCGTTCACTGAAACCTCAGACGAGGCGCCGCTACGTTTTTAGTACAATAGATAGCCTGCGTTTTCGAACGCACTATGCAGCCTGTCGTGAACCAGATTCCCAGAACATGACTAAGCACAAGGCAGTGTCATTAGCAAATGGATAGACTGCACAATTGCTGCGGCGAGGAGTGCCATGAATAAAGAGTGAATGAAGGATTAGTCTAAGAACCGAACCCTGGGGGCAACCGGCTCGGAACATTATTAATTTTGAGGTTATACACACCATAAGGTAGTGTTGCCGAAGTGTAATTTGTAATTTGGTTTTAAACGCTTCAGTGTGCTGCTGCCTCGTCATCCCCTTGCCAAGATAGTTGGCAGAATTTTCCCATGATTCGCGAACTCCATTCACTGAAACTTCAGACGAGGCGTCGCTACGCTAGTACAATAGATAGCCTGCGTTTTCGAATGTTTAATTATGATCAGCCACCGATCCGCACATTCCAATACCCCGTCCGCCGCACTCTGCAGCATGACGTGAACCAGATTCCCAGAACATGAGTGGGCACCCGGCAGTGTCATCACCAAAGAGATACACTTCACAGTTGCTGGGCCAAAGAATAACATGAGTAAAGAGTGAATAAAAGATTAGTCCAAGAACCGAACCCTGGGGGCAAGCAGTTTGGAACATTGTTAATTTTGAGCAATAAATTAATTTGCACCTCATGCATTCTGGGGTACCTTCATAATGCTTTCCACAATAAAACACTAAAGTGTTAATGAAGTGAGTTGATTTTCTTTACTACAATCAAATGAGTGAGATATTAAAATAATAAATTTACAATTTATTGAGTACAGTCTGCTAAGATCAAAAGTCCGCCAAATTAGGTCTGAAAAACAAGATTGAAATCGCTTTAAAATAATCTACTATCAAAAAACACAAAGTCTTTATCGAGCAAGCTTTTAGCTTTAATTTAGATACTTGATGACCTCAAAAAGTTTTAACCGAGTTTTTAAGCATTGAATATACCCGTACGATAATCCGGATCAAGTATGTTTGAATATATTTTTAATGAAGCAATATTTTTTTCGGGATTTTTGGATCATTCCGAACAAAAAAGACATCCATCAACTTTTCTCTGAAGCTGACCGTTTACGAGTTATAAGCGATTAATTGCCTGGAAAGTTGTAAGAATTGATATATTCAATGTTTAAAAACTCGGTTAAAAATCATTATGTTTGAGGTATCTAAAATCTTAATTAAAGATAAAACATTGCTCTGCAATACCCCGAAGAGTATTTTGAGATTACTTTCTTGTAAAGCAATTTTTAACCTTGTTTGTTAGGTCAATATTGGTGTACTTTTGGTTTTCGCAGACTGATCATATTCATGTCGATGATCTTTAAATAATCATCTTGAACTTTTCAGGAATCAACAAAAACTGTACCATTCACGCGTTTTAAAAGAAGTCTTTGGGCTTAATATAGCATTTGACTTTTCAGTTTCTCAATAATATACAGGGTGATTTGTCGAAAAAGGTCATATTGCAGGCACTGTTGAACCGATTTTAATGAAATTTATTGTATTTCAGCAAAATCAACACCTTGTTGGATAAGGAAGTGTTTGAACATATACACAAAGAAGCAATGAATGGTGCTTATCAATGATGCAAAACAAACTGGATAGCAGATGGAAAAGGTAATACACATGTAGAACAATGTACAAAATAACAAATAACTATCCACTTGATTGATTCTTGGAACTTCTCTTGTCAGCTTTTTATGACCAGCAGTACAATTTACAAACATGTAGATAGATAAACTGAGTTATTAAATACATAATAACCTTGTAAAATTAAATGTATTGTATGTATATGGAAATATAAGACAATTTGTGTGTTAGAAATGTTCAATACCTTCAATTTTTATGCTATAAACCCAATCTTATGGCAATGCAGTTTTAAAACCAAGAAAGTACCCGAAAATTGAAAATTATATGTCTTTAGACTACACAATTACAACAGCAGGTACATTAAAAACCATCAAGTATCCACCGTACTCCCCAATTCCAACCTGATCAAATTACCTTAGGACCAACTTGCTCTGAAACAAACTGAAAATAGGAAGGGATTGGCTTGGCATGGTTTGTCAAGGAGCTATCACCAGAATACCAAAACTGCTGCATAAGTATTGAAGGTACTGTTATCATTTTGAGGTATATTATCACCTTAATTAGTCGTACATTCAATGAATGCATAATATTTCATCAACTCCTCTGATATATGATCAAGCTTCTATTACTAATTTCTGTTTTAAGTATAAATCATCAGAAACTTTTGAACAGTAACAACCATAAAAATTGGATTTTGTCAAATATTTTCAATATTTTTCACATCGGAAGTGAACGCACATCACACATAGTTAGGTGCACACTATTTTGGGAAAACATTTTAAGGACAACTACAAATTTGACCAATGTGACACTAAAATATATATAGTATTTGGGTCAATTATTGTCATAGTTTCAATAAAATCAGGTAAATCATTTAGATACAAAATTATTATTATACATACATGGGATTGATGGAAATATTTAAATTTAAATACCATTTTCCATGAAAAATCACATATGAATATAAGTAGATATGATTATCTTTGGTTCGGTGAGATTAATGGAACTATTTAAATACCATTTTCCATGAAAATTCGCATATGAATTACAATTCATTTTACAGCAGACAGCTGCAGTAAATATCTGATAATGAACTTATAAAGTGCAATGAGCCTCTGCAGTTAATTTTCATGAAAAATAAACAATAACAAGTTTGGAATTCTGGTATTAAATTAAGCTAGATGAAGAGTTATATGGGCAATAAATCATAAATTTTAATAAACCACAGTGACATATGATGCAAATTCCCTTTTTTAAGGTCACCACATGACTCACAACTATCAGGAAAATAAATATCAATTTCAGGACCTTAAAGACTGGTATCAAATGTGCAAGTATTATTTACTGCAGCAGAAAAACTATTTGCAGTACTGTATTTTGTACCACTTTAAAGAAAAAGTTAATATTAGACAGTGAATGTATAAAATGTTAATAGGGTCCATTCTAGCAAATCAGAGGAATCAAATACAGTACGAATTCTGATTTATTTAGCCCGAATAGTTATGGTATTCAAAGCCATTTATTTCGCTGCCACTTTGATTTGCATTAGAAGGAAGAAGTCCAAAATAAATAAATTACATCCCATAAAGTAAATAAAAACTAAAAATAACTTCATTCTACTTTACTGCATACATAACACCCACACAGGATTTATAACATGATTGATAAACAGTGTTTTCAATGGAACTCACCCTTAAATTTAAATAGGTCACTTTTACACAGAAAACACCGATAAATCACAGTATATTTCCCAAATATTTTACTTTTATTTTAGACGTTTTGCACTCTTTCTTGGTTATGACAAAATTGTTATGTCAAACTGGTGTTACAAACATCGCCGTCAGATGGCGCAATCATTATTGACTCGCTTTCACCCGGGAAATATGAAACATTATAAGCACAGCGTCAGTGTCAATTGATTTCAAAATTTCATGTACCTGTTTGGCATTTCTACAGCTAAATTTGTGTTTCCTTATCAAAATTCATCCATGTTATTATTGTGTAATGGCCTGTGTCATATGTGAGTGTGGAATATATGAATTTGAAGATGTGATAACGCTGAAAAAGCTGTGGTAAAAGTACAGCCTACACCTTCAACTACTGTGAGTTTGCCAGAAAATAAGTCAACTAACTTAATACCACTCTGGTTTAAACATATTCTGATTGAATCTTTGCTTTTTCATTTGTCTTAAAAACTTGCATTTTCAGCATTTCTCATATGCACCGTGAGATGGCAGGCCTAGTCGGTATACAATTCTGCTTTGGATTTGCTATATTTACCTAACTCATTCCTAGATGGCAGCAGCAATACTAATTCGTGTTTTGTTAAAAAACATTTATATGAATATCCTTATTTGTGCACCTTTCCTCAAATTTAGCTAGTCGACAGATGAAGATTGAAAAAACGGAGGTTTAGAATGTAAAAAATGTGCATGAGAAACATTTGCAGCTTGCTGTATTAGTATGTTGTTAGATGGCGACAATTGTCCCCGGAGCCAACTACAAGTCCGGATCCAGGATCCGGTGTGATCCAGGCCCGGGTCTAGGACTTTTAGTAATCATTGGTAATTTTGGATGGGTCACCAGGCTCGTCGAGAGAAACGACAACTAAATGCCATTTTTTTGATTTGTGCACCATTTTTTTTAAAGTAAATCTAGCCTGTCGGGTCCTAAATCGTGATAGTAAATGTAATGATTTGCGTTCGGAGTTGCGTCTAATGGAGATTCAAAATAACAGTAGGTATTAGAATAACTCTGAGTAAAAAGTATTGAGCTTTATCTCATCCAAAACACTTCGGCACTCGTAAGAAGTGATTCATAGATTTGGAGATCTATTCTTGATCCTTATACATTCAAACGACGGAACTCTTTGGGCGTTACTCATATGAAACTCGTCGGACTGCCACTTCTCATTTCAACTCCGTGGTGCTCTTTTCGTACTTACATCTAGATCTAAGTGTTCAGCGCGATCATAACTTTGTTCTTAGAGAGTTGGAAATAATCGAATCCTATACGGTTATGACAAATTTCATATCTCGTCATCCCTCAACCCTCATAATATCAATTAATTTCCATGCCTCTTTTTCCGAGTCAAAAAAGGATACCACTTCTTTGTTCAATTATGACACATTGATCAATTCCTTTATATGCAGGTGCTTTCTACCACAGTAGTTAGGGGTCAGCAGAATCAGGCTATCAGGGCAAATGCACTGCGAGAGCATGCCAAGGTGAGATATTTTACAAATGCTATTAGTTGGGCCAATATATGCTCTCGAGGGGTTCAGAAAGGCTTTTTACTTTATGTAATTAACCTTGCAGAGTAGCCAGCTCATCGCCAAGCTTGAGCTGTAAGGAAGACAGCTGCTGTCGAGCGTGTCAGCCAAGAGATTGCTGTAAGAAGTACGATATTTACTGTTTTCTGCCTAGCAACAAGGTTGGTAATGATGAAAGATATGAAACAGTTCCAATTGGATCTTGCTTTGAAGCTTCTCGCTCTTTTGGTTCTAAGCACCGCATTCTCAGTCTATCCTGTTATTTGCACTCCTAGTTCGAAAGACGCATTTTTTTGGTCATAGCCTCACTGTTTTTCTTCCAGTCTTTCCTCTCCCTTAGGAAGGCAAAAAGGAACCTAAATGAGAGGAAAAACTGGAAGAAAAACTGGAAGCCATGATCAAAAGAATAGGAGGGTAAATAAGACAGCGCAATTCGGCATCTATCACTCAGCCTTCTAGTTGACACTGATGTATACTTGTATAGAGATCTCAGTGCGTGAATCGAGTCCCAGTCACAACGTGACCGCTAGATGGTGACGATTCTAGCTGTTTAGTAGATGTGGTCTGCTTGCAATTGAACAAAATAATAAACATGCTCCGCTTTCCTCCGTCCGACCAAAGACAGCCAGCCATGTACAGCTGATTCGTGCTTTTTGACTACTCTTCCTCGTCTTTGGTCGGACGGACCTAGGCACAGCATTGGTAAGTACACAGCGATTCACTGTTTCCCAGTGATCGATTCTACAGTGGCAGATGGCGCTTCGCGCTGCCTTATTTCGATAGATCACACACTTTGCATAGTGTATAGTTCGTTGTCCAATTTTAGACCATGCTGAGGAGTAGCCAAAAAGCATGAAACAGCTGCCTAAGGCTGTCTTTGGTCGGACGGACGGAAGCAGTGCACGTTTACTAAATAGGAGCGACTCAGAATACGACCCTAAGGAGTAAATAGGTATCTTACCCTGTTATAGACATTAGAGACCATATAATACGCAACATCATCGCGCAAAAGATCTTTGGTACCTAAGTTAAACAGCTGAACTGATTAAAAAATATAATTTAGTTGAACTGCTTTAGGTCAACTGTATGAGACCTGTACGATCTTGCTGTTACATACCAATTGGCGATGACACAAGAAAATGTTGTCCTATGCCAAGAGAAGTAGCAAATTACTGTAACCGAAATCATAAGAAAAATACCAGGTAAGTACATTTTTCCACTGTATACACTGCTATCAGGCGATGACAGATATATTTTTTTAAAGTCTGTCAAGTCTGCTTCTACAGGGTGTTTCACAACTTATCCGACAAATTTTAACCACAAATGCACTGTTACGAAAGAGGTTGATTTCTCAAAAAAAAAAAAAATGTAATAAAAGTCCTACAGAAATTGAGATAATAAAATAATACAGTTTGTAGGTAGCAACGCTTAGATAATAAAAACGTGATAATAGTTGGGCCTCATGTAATATGCGCCTTGCTATTGGATGTGACACTTCTGGGACCTGTTGGGCTATAACTGCCTTGTGCTTATTCCCGGATTTTCTTCCACAATATCAAAAATTTTGTCTTCGGCATTTGGGCAAACCCGACCCCCATCCACTCCACGTATGGGTCGCAAATCTCCACTAGCACGTGCACGTAAAACAAAAACTTAAATGTTTCGTGATGTGGTTGGTATGCGCCTATTCGGAAATCGGCGTGCATACAAACGAGAAGCCGCTCGAGAATTCTGCCCTGCTTCTGCGTACGCTAAAACAATGTCCACATGTACCATTTTTATAAATTAATAACTAAAAACATAAACTCGCAAAATACATTCTTAGTTAACTTCACAAAAAACGATCGTTCTTCATTCAGATCTCCCACGATACAGATTAAACCTTATTTACACATTCTTATCAGTATGAAAAAACAAAAAATTCCTGGTATTTTGTTTTCGTCAGTTGTTTGGTACAACATTTGCTACAATAAATTATTAATCCGTGTTCTAATATCACGACAATAAACGCAAAATACAGATATTTATTTTTCAATTTATTATTGAAACTCAGGCTTATAACTTAATTTCTGTAGGACTTTTATCACATTTTTTCTGAGAAATCAACTTCTTTCGTAACAGTACATAAATATGTGGTTAAACTTTGTCGGATAAGTTGTGAAACACCCTGTATATGAAGCAGCGGTGGCGTAGTGGTAGACGTTATGGGTCTACTAATCAGTCACCGTGCGCGGCGCGGGTTCGAATCTCGACCCAAGAGAAATTTTTCATTTGGTTGTGGATGTTGTGATTGTCCGTAGCTGGTAGAATGTGTGCATGTTGCATGCACACGTGTGCCCCCGCTGGAGTCCATGTGGTGACACCCCTTCCCCCTGAGTCCCCCTATATCCCATGGTACCATGGCCTGTTTAGACTTTCGTGGTGGTTCAAGTATCAAAAAAAAGTTGTACGTTTTCTGACCACCATTTGCAATATTTTTGTTGTTTTCATTAGAGTTTCTCTTCTTACGGAAGGTAGGTCGTAACCTATTGCCCGCCAAATGTGTGACTACAAAAAGAATATTTGGAGACCGAATATTCGGTTTTAGGCAAAAGCACTATTCGTGCCGTTTCTATACTATAACTGATTTTTTCGAATTTCTAGCTGTAGCCAGCCAAGTTGTGATAACCCGTGCTGTAGCAGTTGCTGTTCACCCAGAAGTTGTAGAGTTCGTCCAATGCCTTATCGCAGATCTCGTTCTTCTCAACCTTGCTCTCCATGTCCTCCCAGATCGCAGTGCTGTTCTAGAAGACAGAAATGCTCCCCACCTCAGTGCTGCTGTTCCTCCTGCTGTCCAGAACCGCAGCCTTGCACGTGTGAAAGGTAAATACTTTTTTTGCACCCAGTCGCTATCTTGAAATTTTCAACTGCCGCTTTCTTGCTGAAATATAATATAATGCATCAGTTTCATTGCCCCAAACTTTTGCTTGCTATCTTGAGCCGTCCAAAGAATAATTAAACAGGATACTTTTTGAAAGCACAATATTTTCGTATAAGGATATCACCTCTCCACAAAACTTTCTACATTAAACTGCCAAATGACTGTACTCCTAAAATTCCTATTTTTTCAGATGTTATCCTTCACCATGTCCTCCTCGCTGCGGTACTCCATGTCGTTCCCGTTGCCCTCCACGTTGTCCGCCACCATGTCCTCCACGATGCCCCCCACGTTGCCCGCCCCCAAGTCTACCGCGTTGTCCACCACCATGCCTTCGACCTGAGCCTTGCACATGTTCCACTTGCTGTCCACCACCACCACCCCCTTGCCCGAAGTCCCAGAGATGTTGCCAGTGTGGCAACTGTTGTCCACAGCACGAGGGTTGCAGTAGACCATGTCCACCCAGTCGATCGCAATCGCCTTGTTGCAATAGAAGTGCGAGCCCATGCCCTCCGAAAAGGTAACACCATGTTTCCTTTTTTTAGCTCTCTGCTGTCTACGGACTTCAGATCACCACGTGCTGAAGGAGTATCATTACAACATCGAACACTTTATTGTGTTATTGTGAACAGTGTTGCGTTATTTCGGAGAATCGGAAATACCATGAGAATAGAGCTGAAACTCATTTCTTTAATTAAACTTATTGTCGGGTATTGAAATTACAAAAATCGGGATATTCGATATTTTGGTAGTAAAAATACCCGAAGAGAGTCGTCCTTAGCAGATGCGAGGCCTGAAGCAAAACCTTTTTGCGTGTGTGTCTTAGCATTTTTGATGAAGTTATTTCAACTCAAAACACGACAATTATTTACGTAATTTTTTTCATTTGTTAGGGTTGAGTATATTTTTATTTTTAATGTAAGTATACAATATTTCACTATATGCAAAGAATTGAGATAAGAAAGAAATATAATTTATGGCTATGGTCTAAACTCTTCCATTTTAATACTTCAATCCATGAATCACAAGAAAAATTATAATAAAATTTAGGTCTGCTAGGAAATAAATTCGTATAAGAAACCTTTTTCTTTTGTAGTGAATAATCAATCATAAATAAGCACACATTATTACAAAATATTCATATTATTTGCACATACTATCATTTGTTTTGTATTCTTAAGTGAAAATCTTAAATATTGTATAAACTTTTGCTTCGCAGATTCTGACATAGGCTCATCTTCTCCCTCGAACTCAAACATTCTTCTTTTCTTTATCTGTCTGACTTGTTTGAACTTTGGCTCTACACCCAGACTTTCACTAAGTTTTCTTGCTACCAATGTGGCCGCCACAAAATTTTCAACTCCAAGGCAGCGCGCCGGCAAGCATGAGTCACCCACCAGCATGCGCGGGGCTTGGGCAGCTGTCACCGCGGACCCTGCCGCCACTATCAAACGATAATCAAATTCAAGCGGATAACCAAATGAAAATGGTATTTACCATTTTGGATTGGTATTTACCGATCCGTTCAAGCGAGTGTGGTTATCAGTTTGGTTATAAGATCCGTGACGTCATGAATCAGCTGTTATATGTCATAGTTATCACCGTAAAATTGTGGTATTTACCCAACGCAGGAGTAGTTTTATATTTCTGGTTATTATTTTAAATGTGACAAGTTAGAATTTTGCCGGGTATTGGATATTCTTATTGCACTTCAGCTTCATTTTTGGGAAACTTGATACAGGCTGACTTCAGTTTTAGCATAAAGTAGAGCACCTTATTAGTTATAATCATTGCTGTTGTTGGGGACACTTTAAATCTAGCTCCTATGCTTAACAAAGTATCCTGTGTAGCCATATACCACAAGAAGATTAAAATCTGGCCTTAGAAACTCACTGGATAATGTCCACCTATATACGGTTTTGCTAAAATATCTTTTTTCATCGCTTTTTTCTATAATTTCTGCTATATCAATAAATGTTCTCTTTGACATGCGGAAAAGCTTAGAGACTTGGACGTTAACAGCTACAAAGCCATGGTTCCATCAATAAAAACTATTTTCTTAAAAAAATACTTTTCTCCCATTAATATTATGAAAGGTTTCTTTTTTAAACTTTCCTTACACTGTTGTAGACGAAAAAGCACCGATTATTAAGTGATAATAAAAATAATCAGAAATTATTTACGCGCTTTTCTAAAATACACGACTTCCAACAAAACCGCGGTTAAAACCAACGCGTTCAAGCGATTCGAGTAACTGACGTCATCAACCTGTGTTATCTTAAACCATATTATAACCGCGGTACATAACACAGAAATTTTGGTTATTCGCTTGGATTTGTTTGATGTTTTGCATTCATTGGTCACGATTATCTCGTTCGTGGGTTTTGTAATTAATCAATAATTTAACATATTGCGAGAGTTACCAGACCGATATTTTTGGCACGTATATTTGTACATTATTATATTATTTCCATTCAACCAAAACCTTTTACTTAACATATTTGTTAGCGCGAGTAACGCCTCGCGGTGCGAGTAAGGCCCCGCGGCGCGAGACCTTCCTCAGCTCCACCCTAAAGACAGCCCTGTACCCGAACCGATACTGATACTTTTATCAGCATGAAATGAAGTTTTCTCTATATCGAGTTACTTATATATTTCACGGTTTTTGGCGGGTCACATTAAAACTACTGACGTCACTTTTATGCATCCACATTCTTCACACATACATAATGCAATCTGCCTCTGAGCTCAGACGTTTGTTTGTGAAAGCTCAGACAAACGTTTTTCAGTTTCATCTCGCCACCTCGAAAATGGTCTTGCTATCGTATGAGTAAACCTGACATGGACATATCATTTGAGGTTTACCTTTTCTTGGTCTTCGTAATGTAAAATAGCAGTAGGTACCTGAAAATACTAACGACAATATCGATAGTTTTTGCCCAAATTATTGGAGTATTTTGAGAAATTGAATGAAAATAGTTATCATTTATTAACCAATTCATGTATGCAAAAGCAGCTGCGTTTTAGTGTTTTGATATGTTATTTTCGGCCCTATTCTTTGAAGTAATTCATCAAAACTGTTCACACTCATCCTATAATATTGAAAAAAATTATGAAGATGATCTCTTAAGTCGTTTTAAATTTTATAAAATTGGCCTTTCAGCAATCTTTGACTTATCAGTGGATGTACCCAGTATTGCTTTTTACGTCGTGTTTTGGCTTTATTTCGTGATATCAACGCAACCACACAAGCAGTTTGAGTAAAATCCATGATGGTACTAAATGTAGTTACGACTAATTCATCGCAAGTGCGCGCCCAACCCTTTGCGAGCAGGATTATCGTTCATTTTGAATTTTAGATATATTGAATTAGTGCTAGTATATATAACCTGACCCTTGAAATGACGTATAGTGTGCTGACACCAGTATTATACGGCCAATTACCGTAGGTAGCATAAATGGCAATACTGTCCTGGTGAGACCTACCTAATAAAGAAATTTGATGTGTAACTTGTTACCCTATCCCCAATTTACCGAATCACGGACGGGTAACTCCATCATCAGGTAACCTTAAGCCGGTCTTGACATTTACACTATCTGTGATGCCTCAGCCGTGTATTGCTTGATGTATACTTTATATTTGTAATCAAGGTCTGGAAAATGTGGCATTTCGAGGGTTTCCTAGCGAGCACTTATGAAATACCAATATACGGGAAAAATGACAGTTCTTACATCGATAAAAATGAATTATGATGACACCGATAAAAATAAATTATGATGTCAGTGTTAGCTTCAAATAAGTGAGCAGCTAAGACGACCCAATATTTGATGAAATTCAGTAAAACAACATTTAAGGAGCGATATGAAAACTCCCACATCGCAAGTTTGCTGATATGTTAAATATAACTTAAATAAGGCAACCGTTAATTATCGTACTAAGGAATAGATACCACCAAGATGATAAGTTGGTGGTCATGCCAGAAAACATGTGAGCCACAAAAGATTAATTTTACTTCAATAAGTATTACCTATCCTACCACTCTTCCAGGTGTCCATATAAGCCTTGCTTCCCTCCTCCAAGTTGTCCTCCAAAACCTTGCTGCCCTGCTCCGCCAAGGTGTCCTCAAAGGCCTTGCTGCCCTCCATCCAGTTGCCCTCCGAAGCAATGGGGTCCTCCAAAGTACTGCCCCCCAAAAGACTGCAGTTCATGTCCACCACAGAATTGCAACGGGGATCCAAGGAGATTTTGCCGCAAGCCTTCGCCTTGTAACTGCAGACAGTGCCAAATTATCGCCACGTGCACTCCGTGTTGCGTCAGGTGTGGATGTAAGGTAAATTCTCAACCAGCTTTGGTTAATTTGAAATAGAACGAAGTTTTGAGCTTAAAGAAAACCTTTTTGATTCTTCGAATTGGGCGACCTCCGACTTAAATTGATGACTCACGGTCAAGGGATTTGAGGAGAGGAAAAGAAGTGACACCTACGTATTTAGTTCTAGTCATTTTTTGTTTTCCAATCGACTTAGAAGATTCAATGCTGACTTTATCTGCCAAGATTTCGTTCAAAAAATGACCTGTTTCATAAAAAAATCGACTTGAACTGCTGCTTCTGGAACAAAAAGTTACATTTTCATTCAATCACAGTAGTGATCAAAATTTATCTCTGATGTTGTTATCGTTGGATCAGAACTGATATATTTGCTTACAAAGTGTATTGGTTTTAAAAGATTCTTATATAGCAATGCCTGTTATCTATGTTTCAAAAATCTGCTGTCGGTCTGAAAAGAATGAACGCTTTAGCCACACCTGACCCCTACTCATTTTCTCTTCCAAATGATGTCTAACATAATCTGTATGACTCAAAATTATTTTTTTTTTCTTTATTTAATGTGTTTTTTAGTCAGTGACTTTTAAAAGGTGACATTTTACAAAAGTATCGAGTCAAATGGTAGCATTTATATGTTATTTAATGAATATATGTCATTTGAAATGTACTTAATTATATTTTGTCCAAACGTTTAAAATAACTTTTAAATTCATTAAATCAAAAATGTTTTATATTTCCAATTTACTGAAAAAACGTAAATGTCACTTTTTTCCTAGCCTCCTCATTTGATTTTGACAAAGCGCTAGATTGATAGAAAGAATGTTTTAAAGTCTCCATAATAATCAAAAACCGGTGAGATGCACCAAGTCACTTAACAATTAACTATAACTTGTAATGGGGGAACTGACTGAAGTATTTTCAAAGTTGGAATGGGAACAGTGTCTTTCGATGAGTGGGTTAGAACAGTGGGAAACACTCAGAACGAATAGGATGCTAACGATAATTTTTGAGCTACAACACAGAAAAAGATCTAAGATCGAACAGGAAAGAATTTATACGTACATAGAAAGGTTGTATTTTTGATCCAGTACTCGCGACCACACTTACAACGGATAAAGTTCAGCGAATCATATCCCCTTAAAAGGAACTTTAAAATCTTGTATCTAAAATGCTCTGGTTTAATTGACAGGAAAGCCTCCCACTTGATAAAACATTTAATTGAACTGAACGTGTAGCTCCCTGTCACTTAAAAAAGATAAGGTTCACGTTGAGGGTACATCAGGCGAAGTCGGAAGTCGCAGGCCTCCGTTTGTCGGTACCACCATTTTTTTGACGTTGGTTATGCCTCTAAAACTTTCTGTGTAGGTATGATCACCTACGACTACAATTTGGAACAAGACTTTACTAAAATTACTTGCATTATTATAACGTTATTCAGGTTTATGCGGCTGAAAAAGTAACGCTTTCGAAAGGCGCCTACCACAACAGCTGTTTCTCCTGTTACTGTTGCCAAAGGTGTCTGGATCTTAAAAGTGTGTATGAAGCTGAAGGCGAAATATACTGTAAACGTAAGTATATTTAAAAAAAAATTAAAAATGTTAATTTACACTGAGGTCTTCTTTATGTATTTTAGGTTGCTACAATACAAACTTTGGGGCTGACTACGTAGGTTATGGATCAGCACTTCAACCCTGCTGAAAGGTCAACATTTACAGCATTCATAAGAATACAGTGTGCATAGCACTGAAATCCTGTTGTTTTATTTCGTCAAGAGCTGGAATTTTTCTTCCAAATTGACTACATGCTTATGTGCTTCATAATGCACATTGATTCTTTATCATGAGTCATTTCTTGTTTCGTAGATTAGAAAATAAATAGCCTTATTCCTGCTCGATATAAAACAAAGTATTTTTGGGGAAACATAATCTTCCTATGATTCTAATTAAAGAAAAATTAACTCTTACACTCGTAACACCAACAATTGATCTGACAGAGCAAAAGCTAGAAAATATACTAGAGGAAACAGTTTCCTTTGCAAATAATTTATTGTTGAACAAAGAACGTGGAGACCGACACTAGGCTACAAGTGCAGTGTCGTCTGCTTAGAGGTGTTATGGACAATTACAAAGAAGTAAGGGGACCGAGGTCAGAGCCCTGAGCTATATCGACTCAATAGGCAGTGTTGTAGATAGGCCATTATTTCAAGGGAGCTTTAACATGCCCGCTTATTGAGGTAAAGCGACGGTGACATTTGTGACTTTCTTGTACCTCAAAAGCGTGCACGTTTAAAAGCCCGATGGGGAAGTCATTTTTGGATTAGTTTGTAGAGGATACAATTTTTGTTACCACTATGTTAAATGCAAAAATAATATCTACGTAGAGCTAAGGCGTTCTGTCAGTGCCCTTGACAGGAGTGGCGTTCTGGATTTTTGCCGTCAGTACATTCCTGATGAGAGATTTTCAACAATCACCTTTTCTGTTAGCTTACAGGAAGACGAAAAGAATTTGATAAAGCGATCATCTTGAGGTTACACCGTTAACCGTACTGATATAACTTTTCGAATACTTCTTTTTGCCTTTTGTAAAAATGATTATAAGCACTCTTTTAACCTCACGTTCAATGGAACAAGCTTATATTCAGAACAAGCGTTCATGATCTCTAAAGTTGAGGTTTACAAGCACATTACAATGCATATCAAGTCATCGCGCAGCCATGTTTCAGCGCTCTTACGAGTATAAAGCCGCGAAGTGTTATACTCGTATTGCATTGAACAATAATATTAGTAACACAAGAAATCATCAGAAAGTTAACTGACTTTTAAAAGAATATTCTTTAAGCACACAATGACATTAAAAGTTTGGTAGAATTGGTTGAGTGAATTGGCCAACGGATAGACTCCACCATTTGCACATATTTTCAACTGTTTGTAATTATGATGATGCTTAAAAACAGGTTGTTTTATGTCATATGGAGAATGAAGCAAGATTCAAGAACGAAAAGCTGGAAGACAAATGTTTTATCATATGAGCTACTAGATATTACAGAAATGATTCGATAAATTCTTGAATGTTGTAGGATTAATCTCGATCTGGATTTTTTTAAGTGTTTTCATCTTTGTGAAATTTGCAATTCAATTACGGCTTGCTGAGCATGTAATTCCACTGATTCATATAGCGCGGTTAGTATGTAATTCCCCTAGATCGTCTTTGAGAGTGAGTCCAGGAAGTAAATCACTGCACAAAACTGCACCTACCTTAACTTCAAACACTTCTTGAACAATACAAGGGTAGATTCAAGTTGATTTTGTCTAGTTAAACAGTTACACTCCCAACAATAGGTTAAATCGTCTATAAAATCAACATACATACATGATATGTGTTATCAGGTACACCCGAATTTTAATAATTCGACAATTAACGACCCTGATTCTCGGAGGGCCATTAAAGGGTAATTTTTAACAGTGTGGGTCCTCAATTTACATACAAAGATCGTCGATTTATCATCAATTAGAGCTCTCGAGTGTCGGGGTTGAACGAGCATTGTGCGTCGGGCAGCGAATTTTCCGGTAGGCAGCCCACGAAGAATGAGGCTCCGGCAAACAGCCTAGTGTGGTGGCTGCTGTGACCGTTTTCATTCCATTCCTTCCCCTGTGCTCCCTCGACCAAAGCTTTCCAGGAGAGAATGGGATTGGTGATTGTTGTTTTTGAGAGATGGATTTACATGTGAGTTTGCATATACATATAGCAGATCGTTTTAAATATGTGTATGAGGCGGCTGTTTCAAGGTAAGGCGGGTTCTAATTGCAGCAATAAAGCTACACATAACATGAACACAAAGCTCCCAGTCCTAGTATGCTCAATGTAAGGAAAACATCTCATAGCGGTTCTGAAATTACTAGAAACATAGAATCAGAACGGATGTGGTATAGTTCCTTGTAAAGCATTAATAAGACTATTAATACCCAGTTGCATCGCCTTTCTCATATCTACCGCTTAATAGAGGTAATCCATATGTTAAGGTCGACCTCAAATTATGTTGATTGAATTAGACAAAACTTACATCTGACAACAGTAGCTTTTCAGGGAAATTACGTTATTAACTACAAATGTATTGATTGACTTGGTTGTATGCCATATTTTGAAACGCTTTGTGTTTCAAAAAACAGACCCTAATGCTAGTTTATGTATTTGATATCAGTGAACAATATTATACAGGGTGACAATCGGGAGTCGGATGTTTGCAACGTTATTACTCTTGTAGTAGTGCCATTTCAGTAACAGTGGATGATAGCACGTCGCGTATTTGCATATGACACGTGTATCCGAAATAACGAGTCTGTGATCACTACGCGGCGGCTTCTTCGCACTACCTTTAATATTGGTCGGCGTGGAGCTGTTCTATCTCGTAGCACAATCTTGAGATGGATGAAGAATCTAAGAATAAAATTTAATAAAAAGAAACCTGGCCATAAAATAATGGTAAGAACTCGTGAAAACCTAGAGTGAGTAAGAGAAGCGGTCATCAGAAGTCCTACACGGTCCGCCCGAAAACATACAAAAAACACGAATCGGGAATCGTTTAGAAACATTCCTACAAACTACAGGTTGACCAACAATTAAAGGAAAGCGATTTTGGAGAACGTAAGGTTTTCGCTGCCGGAATACAAGTTATTTTGGAGAATATCTTAGACCTGCATCTTCTAATGAGCGACAAAGCTCATTTTAACTTAGATGGAACAGTTAGTTAGTACACATAATTTTAGGTACTGGACTCCTGAGAACCCTCAGAAGAACCATGCGCGACCTCTGAAAAGGTCATAGTATGGTGTGCCATTGGTCCAATAAGCATTAGTGGTCCTTATTTTTTTGAACAGGCTGGCCGTACAGTCACCGTTAATTCTGATCGGTAGGTTCAGATGACCCAAAATTTTTTGATGGTAGAACTTCGCAGAAGAGGGATGAGCCCCAGGAATGTGTGGTTTCAGCAACATGGTGCCACAGCACATACCGTCAACGTATCAATGAATGTTTTGTTTGTTTGTTTAAGATTTATTTAGCATGATTGCTACAATTACATTCTTCTAAAAAACTGAACAACTACATAACATACAAATACTTAGAAAAAACAAAATTTGCATCTCTAGAAATTTTACTGTCCATGGAATATTCCTTTAATTTTCCTTTAAACATCATTAAATTTCAAGTAGACTTCATATCATTATCTAGTTTATTAAATTCACGTAATCCTTTCTAAAACATTGATTTGCTAGTTATATTACTGTTGCAATTTAGTAAATGAAAATCTATATTTCCTCTTGTACAATAGTTGTCGTAATGAGTATTGAATTCCATGTAGTATTCTAAATGTTGTGGCAAAAGATGATTTTTTATTTTAAATATAAAAATAAGAACTAAACATGGTATGAAATTTTTTATATTCAACTACTGCAAATCTTGTAACATAGATTTTATTTTGGTAAACTTATTTTTATTCAATGCTATTCTCATAGCTTTATTTTCCAGGGCTTGTAATTTTGAGAATACAGCTTGATTGGCAGTGAACAAGATAGTTGAACAATATAGTGAATGCGGAAGAACAATTGTGTCATAAACTATTTTCTTTGAATGTGTACCAAGACTATGAGAAGCCTTATAAGAGTAATTTGTTGTTTTGGCAGTTTTTGAAATAGTATATTCATAGTAATCCTCAAACTTTAGTTCACCATATATATATAAACAGGTAGGAAAATAATGGGTAAAATCCGCAAAAAGGAGGAAAGTGGATTCGAGCAGAAAATAGGATAGGTAACCCGAGCGATACGTATTTCTGCTGGTTGGCTCATCAGGCCCGAAATGAATGTACATATGAAACTACAATAGTAGATACACATGCCCACACATCCGGATACGGGTGTAACCTGAGGAAACGAAGTTGGAGGGGAAAAAACGACACACGAAGTCCACAACAAGAGCCAACCTACACATTGTAGTATAAAATGGCTATACGACCTCGAATTTTCAAGGAGGCGTCTAACCACCACCACGCGGCCGGTTATAGCCACTAGGCTGCGGTACTTCAAGCCCAAAGGATCTACAAAGAGAATATGATCATGCGGAGAAAAGTATATAACAACAGGTAGGAAAATAATGGGTAAAATCCGCTAAAAGGAGGAAAGTGGATTCGAGCAGAAAATAGGATAGGTAACCCGAGCGATACGTATTTCTGCTGGTTGGCTTCATCAGGCCCGAAATGAATGCACATGTGAAACTACAAAAGTAGATACACATGCCCACACATCCGGATACGGGTGTAACCTGAGGAAACGAAGTTGGAGGGGAAAAAACGACACACGAAGTCCACAACAAGAGCCAACCTACACATGGTAGTATAAAATGGCTATACGACCTCGAATTTTCAAGGAGACGTCTAACCACCACCACGCGGCCGGTTATAGCCACTTGCTGTGGTACTTCAAGCCCAAAGGATCTTATTTTGATTTGATTTAATTTTTGATATAATTTTCTTGAGACGATTAATATTTATTGTTCTAAACTCACCAAATGATGCATTACAATATGAGCTGGGGGCCTCGGTTGGCCGCGAGTTCGAATCTCGCCTTCGCCATGGATGTTGTGACGTCGTGTGTTTGTCCATAATTAGAGAAATATAAGTAACACACATCTGTGGCAAATGGATAACTTCCAATGCCAATAATATGTTAAAAAAAAATCTGAGCTATTGTGACATTGGTTGGGATCCCCGTTAATAATTGACCGTACACTGTCGTTGTCACTTTCTACGAAATAGGTATTCATTCAATCTGCTATCATTTCTTCATTTTTTCTAATAGGAGAAACAATGTTTTCCAACGTTTCCATCTCTTACAACTG